GCGCAGCAGCAGCACGAGCAGCAGATGGCACTGCAGCGGCAATGGCGAGTTGTGGGGCTGGCAGTGTTGCAGGTTGCTTCCCCTGCGCTGCTGCTGCGGCAGCACCTCTCGCAGTGTCTGCTGCAGCAAGACCTCAGCCTAGCTTTCTTTGGAGTTTCCGTACTAAGAGCCTGCTGTCACGCGCTACGCTGCATGCATGCGGCTTTGAGACACAGCCCCGAGCAGCAGCAGCTCTTCCTGTCACAGGTAGCGCTTAGACTCCCGGACCCCAAGACTCTTGTCAACTCCCTGCTGCGCATGACTCAGCAGCAGCAGCAGCAACAGCAGCAGCAGCAGCAGCAGCAGAAACAGAAGCAGCAGAAGCAGCAGAAGGCTGCGTCGCAGCGTATACCGGACCCTGAGGAGGCGCCGTTTGTGGAGTGCTGGCTATCGGACGAAGCTTTGGCGAGGGCAGCAGCAGCAGCTGCTGCTGCTGCTGCTAAGGAGCAGCAGCAGCGAGACCTTGAGAGCCTGAAGCAGCAGGGACCATCGGAGGCGAGCGATGACGACGAAGTGGAAGTCCATGTGGCGGGGGTGGGGGAAGAGGAAACAGAAGGAGACAGCATGGGGGCCCCNACGACGAAGTGGAAGTCCATGTGGCGGGGGTGGGGGAAGAGGAAACAGAAGGAGACAGCATGGGGGCCCCTGGGGGGGCCCCCGAGGAGACAGTGCAGGGGACGTCTCAGCGCGTATGGGACACAGACAAAGGGGTACCTCTGAAACACCTGCTGCTGCTCTTCCTCAAAGAAGGGGCCCTCGCAAGGGGCCCCCAGGAGGGGGGGCCCCCCGATGCTGGCGGGGTGTGCCCTGCAGGGGCTGAAAGGCTGAGTTCAGATGAACTTTTTTTGCAGTTTGTATTGAAGTGAGCTGGGCATGCACAAACATCTAAACCCTAAACCCTAAACCCTACACCCGTAAACCCTAAACCCTAATTTTTAAGTGTATAAACCCTAAACCACACTCCCTATCACGGGTACGGGACGTAGTAAACAATGGTGGAGACACTAACACGAAGAAACAAACAGTTCCTCCACTGTCTCCGAGGCCTCGCCTCTCTTGGCCCCTTCAGCCATTGCATGCACTGCATGCTTTGCCCTTTCAACGCAAAATTTTGTTTTTGCATGCAGCTTGTGGAGAAAAGGGGAGCAGTGTTGGGGCTTCTTTTGTTCGGGGCTGCCAAGCCCGCAGCAATATACGCAGCGCCCCACACACGAACACAAA